TGACTCTTTCTGCAGCCTTTCTAAAACCACTCCTGGGCTTTTTCTTACAGCATTTTACTTTCAGCCACGCCCTGATCTTAAGGGAGTTAAGATCTAATACCTAGTTTTTTCGGATAAGGGCAAAAAATCTCGGAGGTCCCATGTGCAAATTGTGCATGTTAAAGATCCTTTGGCGAAAGAAAAGCGATTAGACTAATTAGAGTATGCTTCGGCTGTCACCGGGGAAATTTTAGAATTAAGTTCTTATCAAACTAAAATGTTAAATATGTCCAGCGCGCTCATATGACCATAGGCACTTACAAGCACCGTAAAACACTTACCGAAACAATAATTTCATTGTTTATACAAATTAAGTAGACTATATTGGCAATACGAGTTGTACTTAAATTACATAATTAAAAATGATTTTTTCCCATCTCGATGAAGGAAAAGAAGAACAAAAATAGCAGAACAAAAACAACAACAAGATCAAGAACAACCACAACCACAACTAGACAAGAAGAAGAAGAAGAACAAGAAGAAGAAGAAGAAGAAGAAGAAGAAGAAGAAGAAGAAGAAGAAGAAGAAGAAGAAGAACAAGAAGAACAAGAAGAACAAGAAGAACAAGAAGAACAAGAAGAACAAGAAGAAGAAGAAGAAGAAGAAGAAGAAGAAGAAGAAGAAGAACAAGAAGAACAAGAAGAACAAGAAGAACAAGAAGAACAAGAACAAGAACAAGAAGAAGAAGAACAAGAAGAACAAGAAGAAGATTCTTCCGGAAATTTAAAACTTCCTCATTGTCCCCCCTCCACGCCCACCTATGATTCATTATTTCCTTTTCAAAACCCCACCCATACTTGAACCTGTGCTTGTCACTGCATCAACGACTCGCAGTTATAAACTGGATTTTTCCGTGCTTTCCCCAGACACGCAATCACGTGACCGACCGCCAAAAGACGTTACAACAGTAAATTTTGAACTGTGGATCTGCTTTAGAGAGCCCAAGGACAAAGAAACTTCGTCAGGCTGCACTGCAGCCGCAGCTACAGCACACAATACGCTTTGGCTGCATCAGAAAAAAGGCAAATGATCTCCTATGGATGTGTGTGGAAAGTGTGTGCTCAATTCGACGGAAGGACAAACTGAACATTCTGTCGTGGATTCTGAAACGAGGGACGGTGTAGCTTACGATGCACCCTGACTGGATGTCTAATCAGTGACCACCAGCAAAGTAAAAGTAAATGATTTTATATTTTAAAAAGAGTCAACGGAACCTTACTATCATGCATTCTGCTAAGGTAAGTAGAATGAAGTCAATTTTCTCTCCTCTGTCCCTGTCTTTCTCTCTTTGTATCTTTCTACCTTTTTCTATCCTTCACTTGCCCCCCCCCTCTCTCTGTCTTACTCTCTCTCTCTC